GCTATAGTAACTGAACGAGAGAGTAATGTCAAATGAAAGTACAATTGACCAATCATATCTTCCCTCTAAATGGATGGGTTTTATTATTGTGGACTTTATGACAAGTTCCGCCCGCTGTGAAACTTTTTTCTTGTTTCCAGAGCAACAACAATTTCCTGACAACAGCGTGAACTCGCCTTCAAAATAAAAGCATGCCGAATTACACTTAAGACATACAACTGCAACGAGAGTAACAAACACAATGCAATATTATTTTCAATGTCAAAGAACACAAATTGGGTTCACAGGTGTTGTTTTGTGTGGTAGAGGGTCGCTTTCATTGATGCGTTTTGCACCCCGGGCCGTTGTTTTTGATATTCCGCTGAAGAATACGCTGTGACGTAATAACTCTTTTTTTTTCTTCATTTCGAGGGAAGGGGTGGGGGTCAGAGGGCCTAGGTATAAAGCTCACGGCTCGCCACTGGTTTTGAAACATTTTTGTTAATACCTGTCGGCAACCATATGGATGTCTTTCATAAAGCAAGTACTGTGTATACTGCCACATCATCAGCATATTATGCCCTTTGATTTCTCTCATTGGTGTCTCATGATAAACGCAGTCACAACTTTAATATCACTGATATCATTAAGGATTGGCTGTCGAGCGATGGCACGAGTTCATTCATAGCTATAAATGAGATGAGAAACGTTCCTTTTCTTTGCCAGACAAGTAAGTAGATATCAAATAGGGGAACAAAGTTGGAACTGTCTGAAGAAGCTCTTTACAATCTAATTTTAATTATTGCCCAGGCTGGATGATCTAGTCGATTGTACCCACGAAGAGAAAAAGGCCTCAGCCGTTTGTTCTGAATGTTTTGAAGCTTGATTGCTATGAAGGTAGCATCAACGATTGGCACTGGCTCAGTGTTTCATGAGAATCTACTCCAGCTTACACCACCTGTGCCTTTGCTGCTCTGAAAAAAACAAGCTCTAATGTTGATGAATTGAAAAGCTTTGTTGATGTCTCCAACACATGCTGGAAGGAGAACAATGCAATGTCCCGAGCTTATAAAAGGCAAGGATGCAGGATAGAAAAGGCAGTTTGGCGGTGCTTGGGAAATATTCTTGTATCATGGATTGTAGAGCCTGACAGGTTGAGACCATTTGGGGTTTCTTTTATGCTGCAAGGCCTTCTGGGAGAACAGCTGGGTGTGCTGGATGTGTCACTGGACTGCTTCTTTTCCCCTTGAGGGTCGCAGTGGTGGTAGCGGTGGCAGTTGGCGGTGGCTGGGGGAGGGTGGCGCACTTGGACAGTGTGTCTGTAGGGATTGCATCTCTCACACACACACACACACACACTCTCCCTTCTACCGCAACCTCCACCACACCTCCTCCTCCCATTAGAGTGAGTGAGCTCAAGCTGCTGACAGCGGTGACAGGACAGGAGAGGCGATAGGGGAGGGGGTGCTGCTGTTGACGAGGTGTACATCTGTTCTGATCCTCGCCTGTTCTCCAAAGTTTGACGCTGCTGGGATCGGCAGAGGTGGGAAGTAGTGGAGTACAAATACTTTGTGACTGTACTTAAGTGCATTTTTGTGGTATCTGTGGTATTTTTCTGACCGCTTTTTACTTTTACCCTCTTACATTTTGAACACAAATACCTGTACTTTCTACTTCTTACATTTTCATATTGATTTTAACACGATCCGTGTATCCATCATTTCCTGAGGCCTGTACTACGAAGCCGGTTCAACCTAACCTGGATATGTTTGAGTGACCCGGCTTACCCAATCCAAAACAAACGCGCTCTCGCTAAGCGGTCCAACTAGGCTGGTTATCAACTCGGTAACTCAAGCCAGCCGTGCCCTATCTAGTTATGTGCGGGTTCATTTAAAAGGGGCGGGGTTAGCAACATTCGACCAATCACAAACATGGAGAAGCGTACTGACAGCGCAGCGTCATACTTCCTGAATGAAAAGTCAACTATAGTATTAGACATATGAAGAAGTTAAACTTGAAACATCCATGACTTAAACACTTTATCCAGGATCAAAGCCACATAGCTGCACCTGCAAGGTGAATACAGCTGGTAAAATATGTAATAATGATCCGGTTACTTATGTTAACTTGTGGCAGATATTTAAGTAAGCTTTCTTAACGCTAATGTTATAATAGTCAGATTGCGCTGAAGATGGGAGGTGATATTCTATTCATTTTCACGTTCACACAGTCAGTTGATTTTTGTCGGCCGTCTTTCCTGCAACGGCAGTTTTTCTGTATTTCCTTTCTCCTGTAATATGACTTTAGCTTTAAACTCTGCACACGGAGCTCTGATTGGTCAGCAGGCGGTGCTTTCACTGAGTTGATCTCTTATCCTGGAACCTAACCTGCTCCGGACCAGGCTAGCCGTTCAGCATAAGTTACCATGGAGATCTAGCCCGGTAAGAAGTGAACCAGCTTCATAGGACCGGAAACCCAGAGTTTTCCCTGAAGTTAGCTCACTAAGCGAAAATAGTACAGGCCTCTGGTCTTCTCTAAAGAAGAGGGACCAATGAAAACGTTGTCATGTTGCCGTTGTTCAGCATGGAAACATTCGTTAGCTAACAGAGATATTATTGTTCTATTAATATAAAGGAATCCTTTATATTAATAGAACAATAATATCTCTGTTAGCTAACGAATGTTTCCATGCTGAACAACGGCAACATGACAACGTTTTCATTGGTCCCTCTTCTTNCTTTCAGCTCCTCGTAGCTGGACTGATCGAAGATGGATTTGATCGTCTCCAGGAGGTAGTTTCCTCTTTTTCTTTTGACAGATGACAGTCCAATGGTGAGATACTCTGTGAACAAAAATGATATATGATGTAAACAGAGGTTCTTTCAAATCCTTTAGACAAATCAAGGGTCCTTCGTAGTCCAACACAGAGAAGCCCATTCACTAACGAAGACTGTAAAAAGTCATTAAAAGTTATTATGGTAATGTTAACACATTTTTCTCAATTAGAAATATGCATTCCTGTGATATAGTTTCTTTTCTCATCCATTGTGTATTAAACATTAAATTAGAGCTTTGCTCTCAAGGTAAAACTAAATCATGGTACACTTGAACAGAGGGGGGCGTAGTGTTTAATTTCAAGGTAAAAAGGTCTCTGTGGAGCAGTTTTATTTTATTGCAATGCTTTAAAACCCACGTCACAGATTTTTAAGTTTTAGTTCTTCTCCGCTCCTGTTCACAACCGCTGTATGACTCCCCCAAAGATAATGAAAACAGTCAATGTAAATGTCTTTTTAAACAAACACTAAACGTACTCTTGCGGTTCAACGGCGTGCCGGCGAGATAACGATACGTGACATTAATGCTTCCAGAGAAATTGCTCAGGTCTCTGAAGGTGTGCACGTATCGCTCTGAGCTCGACGGGTGGACGGATGTTTCCCTGAGCTGCCTCTTATCTCCTTCCTGGAACACAGCATGAAAAACATTACATTGCATTATTAACAAAGGAGAATAAGAAAACATGTTCAAGTCATTTTTTTGTCATTACTACTGTGAGAACGGGACAGGGAAGTCTACTTGAACATTACAATTTCTACTGTGAATAAATCAAATGGATGGAAGTCTTGTATTTCCTTAAACTTGTCTCCAACATCCTGTACAAACTTGAGACAATATGTGTTTAGACGTTACGGAGCTAACCCTGGATGTTTGGAGACAAAGGGACTCTCAAAGCCCCCTTTGGCAGTTTGCATAGCCGAGTAAATGGACTTGAGAAGAGCACCAGAGTGCTGAAGATGTGAACTACTTCTTAATAATTGAAATAACAAACAAAGCTAATGTACTGCGATCACAACGTTTTGATGGCATCATGAATAAGAAATATATCGCGGGATGATTTCGACTTGGGTCCACGTTATGAACATTTTAAACTAGCTTCTTTTAAAACAAGCTATTACAAAAGGGACGACATGGGATTGGGTAAACAAACACAAGAACACAGTGAGCATATTTGGTTTAATTTGTTCTTCCGACATTAAGAAGGAATACGATACTAAGTTCGTTTAGAAGTCCAATTTGGGAAATGCTTGCTAAAGACAAATACTAACCAGCACGTAGCCATCTTCAATGTAGAGGTTGAGGAAGAGGAGGAAGGTGATGAGGAAGCCGAGGAAGGGGATGGTGGAGCGTTTCCTCAGACACCTCATCTTGTCCAGGGACTTCCACACCAGCCTCATGATGAACACGCTCTCACTGGGATCTGCTTGAGAAGCACATGAGAACAACACATTAACAACACTTGCTTTGAATGTCATCAGCTTGACACGCTGCTAGCCAATAGCCTTTTTTTATCAAGCATCAACACAGGGGTGTCCAAACTACGGCCTGGGGGCCAAATGCGGCCCGTGGGCAATTTTAGCCATTTTAGCAAATAAAAAATATATAATGGAGTACGGCCCACGAGATGAAACTTGTGCTTGTCTTGTACTTCTTAAATATAGATGAAAAAAGATATTACAGAGTATTCAGTTAAAGTTGAAAATGTTTTCTATCAAATCTAAGTTGATAAGAAAAAAGCCCAATAACTAATTTTCACAACACGCTTGAAATAAACCCTTCCTACTTCTCCTTATTATAAGCAATCTGAGGCTTCTGTTTTAAGGAATGAGCTGCTAACAAAATACATGAAGCCCTCTGGAGAGCTGTGTAGGCTGTTGTTTTTCTTAAAGCATATTCACTTATTAAGCATACGTTTTGATTTATTTAGCTGACTTATAAATTAACTTATGAGTCGATATACCTCTAGTGAGTGGCCCAGCCCTTCGTATGTTTTTCTGTATGTGGCCCTCGGTGACAAACGTGTGGACACCCCTGCATCAACAGATTGTGGGAGGATTAATTATAGGACGATACGGCCATGTATGAAGTGATTGGGATATGGGAGGCGTGTGGCGCAGTGGGTTGTGCGTTGGTGTTGGGATCAGGGGGTCACAGGTTCAAACCCCACTGCAGTCAGCATGTCGTTGTGTCCCTGAGACACTTCACCCCAAATTGCTCCTGTGGGGGTTGCCCACAATATTGAGTATGTAAGTTGCTTTGGACAAAAGCGTCTAACAAGTAACATGTAATGTAATTATCTTCAACGAGCATGCTAATTATTTTTCTACGGACTTGTAATGGTGCCTAATAGTGATTTTTTTGTTATCCTTTTTATGGAGAGAGGTGGACCAAATCGGCTGATTGATTCAAATTACTTGCTGTATGAGGAAAGCAAAGGGCACTTCAAGACATAGAGGATATTGACTGACCAAACAATGGATTAATGATGAAAATCAAACGTTGCAAGGCCAATAACAATACAAATATCAACCATTTAACAAATCCCTGCCCTTACTGGTATGTGTAGCTGCTGATGAAGGCTGATTACGTTCTTTATGCAACTAGCTTTCTTTTCTTTGTTGTGAAATTGTTACTTGTTTTTGTTGCACGCCACCATTACTCAAGAGAAAAGCCAATTTTCTATTTCATTTCAGCTCACTTTATTTCAGACTTGTGGTCCGTAGAAGAAAACAAAAAGATATAAAAGGAAAGATATGAGAAGAAAGAGACAAAATAGAGTATAACATTGATTGTTAATTTAATTAATCTTTTGTGGTTTTGCTTGATAAAGCAATGGTTCAGTTTCTCTACTAGTGCAGACGTTTGATGTGGGGAATACATCCCTTCTGGTTTCAAGGTCCTTCAAAGCTTTGATGAAAAAAACTTGAAATTTGAATAAAGCTTTCTTGTAAACAACTCTTTGATGCCTCCTTGATCAATTGAAAATACGCCTATTGTACGCCTCTCTAATATAACGCAATATATTGCAACCTATTTGCATAATATTTTGAGTATAAGTGTCCGACGTATGCTGATATGTAGTTGTAAGTACGTATAGATAGATATATGCTCTTGCTAGGTAATATACATTATATGGGGGTAAACAATAAAGCTACATGTCATTCCCTACTATGTTAGGCACATAAAGCCATACATTGAATGGATGCATATCACTTTATCTTGTCATTTAATTACTCATGAAGTGTTCCCCTGTCCCCAACAGAGATAACATAGAAGAAAATCACAATGTCTTTCAGGTGCTGAGAGCTAAATGCATATCAGGGGGCTTATAAGCAAAGCTATAACATATACAGCTTTGAGGTAGAACATAATTATGTATCAGCCTCGGTCACAACGGGATTGACAACTCCTCACAGCAACTGTACAGCTGAGACTGACTGAAGGGGGAAAAGCAGCAGAAGTAAAAGCCTACAGATGTAACAATGGCGTTGCTCTTTTCTTTGGCAGCAATTAGGCATCAGCGTGCGCTTTTGTTCCACTGCTGCAAAACCCCAGAGGTTCCTAATAGAATACAAACTACCTCTAAGCTCAGTTCAATGACCACACACACACATCGATCACTCGCGCCAGGAGTCAGCCTCACCTGGGATTCGGCTAGTCAATACCTCTTTGTGCACAAAGAAAACTGAATTTAACATACTGTATCCACCCATTGCAGCCTGTTCTGTGCAATTTTCTACCCAGCGAGATTTCATGTGGCCAGTAATTATCTGTAATTTAAAAGAAAATGTTTCTGACTTTACAGTTACAACATGAGCATTACTACATACAGTAAATGTACACATCTGCTTTAGTTGTGAACTACTCATCTTCCTATTATACACACATGCATTTCCAAACATTTGGTCTACCTATGTTGCAAATGTATTATCTTTTCAATTTACACACGGCATCTATTGCACGTCTGTCCGTCCTGGGAGAGGGATCCCTCCTCTGTTGCTCTCCCTGAGGTTTCTCCCATGTTCCCCTTTAAACTGTGGGTTTTCTCTGGAAGTGTTTCCTTGTACGATGTGAGGGTCTAAGGACAGAGGGTCTAAGGACAGAGGGTCTAAGGACAGAGGGTGTCGTATTGTCATACTGACACTCTGTACAAACTGTGAAGTCCACTGAGACAAATGTAACATTTGTGATATTGGGCTATATAAATAAACATTGATTGATACTTAATGGCTTCAGTTGTAGAGTAAAGTCCAACAAATGGTATCGTAAAGTCGTGAACATGATTTCTTATATTCTTTCAATATTGTTGACATTCAATGTCGGCAAGACACAAATCAACAATTTAATTAAATTAAGAATATAGTACACAAAACCACAATGTTGCAGCTAATCAATACTACCATTTGAGATGTTGGATGGCTGACCAGAACATTTTAGATACTCCCCGTTGCCCCCAGAGGCTTCATCGTTTTTTTTACCAATAGTCAATGGGTTCCGAGATTGCCCTCCGTCTAACAATAACACTTCTTCTGATTAAACAGTCTGACGGTTTGAGGGATGAACCAGAGCACAACCTGTTCATTCAAACTTTTGTGACTCTAAATCTTATATACTGTAAGATGACTAAAGCTGACATTCTCGAAATAAAAACATAAGAATCTTAACATTTATCGATTCAAGTCTTTTTTTATCGCTACCAATATATCCAATCTTTCTTTCTTTCTGAGCTTTGTTAACGTTGTGTTCCCAACAGTGTGTCCCTGCAGACAGAATGTCCTGATTACCGAGTACAGGCTACAGCTGAACATGTGGCGTCACCTCCATTACACGTGTGGCGTGTCTACAGTAAATTGCAGTGTTCTGCTGGAGAAAGCTGAGTGCAGCATGATGATGAGAAGAATCATTAGAGGCACTTTGCTGCAATCAGCTGATGGTTCAAGAACAAGAGTCCTCCTGACACCAGGGCTCAGGTAACGCCCGCTTCTCACGCCTGCCTCACTTCCTTCGGTGAGAACTCAGCAGCAGCTCTTTCCTTTTGCACAAACATAAGCTATGTTGAGACTCCTGACCTAGAAAAGAAACACTAAATGGTATTCTTTGTGAGAACCAACGAGGAGAGCTACAATTTAACAACTTTTCTACTTTGTGTAAGAGGTGAGTTGGTCACTCCAATTTGAATTTTGGGTGTCCATTCTGGTGATACAAGACAAAGCAAGGTGCCTTTCTTATTTTCAATAATTCAGTATGGGCTCAGAGCGGGAAGAGGATGAGATGCTCGTCCTGCCAAAGGCACAGCTGGGAAACATGCTCGCTTCTCATACCCTAGATTTAACTGTGACTGAGCTGCATGGCAGAACACCTAAAACACCGTCATCCCTGTTTCCAGTCTCCAGTATATTTTTGGAATGTGCTAGAATAGGTACACGGATGACGGTATGGATCCACAGATGTACTGTATGTGTTGTTGTGTTCATTCTTGTGCCATGAATCCCTAGCAGTGAAATGGACTAAGTGTGTTTTAATGGGTGTGTCATCCTGGCAGTCACACACTCCCGTCAGATGTCCCCAGCACCATTCCAGGACACGGCACACTTCCAGCAGGCTGGGGGCTGTTAAATATCCATTATGCACTGTGTGTGTGAACTGGACCAAATAAACCACACCGCTGCCTCTCTGCTCGCTTACACCCAGCAACACGCTGTGCACTTAACTCGCATCAGCTGTCCGTCCCAAACTCCTCTTGAAAGCCGTGCTCTCAGTAAGAGTTTAAATCCCCTCAGATTGACAAATAGGGAGCTTGGTGGAAACTAAACTGTGACAAAGGCAAAGAGTAGTAGCTCTAAGGACCTCAGAAATGTAATTACATTTTCATTCAGAATCAGAATCAGAATCGTAAACAGGTTTATTGTCAGGTAGGTTCAGACATTCGAGGAATTTGCCTTGATGTCATGGTGCAGACATACAATATGAAACAAGAAATCTAATATAAAACAACCGTAATAGCAATAAAATAAAGCAGTAATTTACATGGGAATAGAATGCCATGAATGAATGAATTCATTCTTGTGACTTAAAGGTGGGGTAGGTAAGTTTGAGAAACCGGCTCGAGATACACTTTTTGTTATATTCCATGGAATGCTCTTAACATCCCGATAGCAATGAATAACTTAAGTGCTTTGACAAAAAATCCATAAAAGAATGTCATCTGTGGAAGCCGTGGCGCTGTAAAAAGCACGACCAATCATCTGAGCCGGCCCGGCTAAATTAACTGGATGGCCTACCTGCCGGTCAGCCTTCCATCTGTGCACAAACTTATCTCGTGCCCTCATTGGTCATGTGCGCGTTCGTGTGTGTTGGAGGAGGGGCTCTGTGAGGAAGTGGCAGATTTTTTCCGGCTGTGTATTTTCAAATTCTAGCGCACTCGAGCTGGTTTCTCCAACATTACCTACCCCACTTTTAAAGTTCAAATCCATCAATATTTCTTATCTATTTCATTTTGGTATATGTCCCTTGTATCTTTTTCATACCATTTTGGATGAAACAAACCCCCACAACCTGCTTGGAGCCAGAAATGTCTTTGATTGTTACTACAGTTGCTCCTGGAAGAGGAAAGGCAGAAAATACGCCCAGAGAGCCTCTAGAAATCCTCTAAGGAAACTATCACCTGGTTCTATCAAACCATCACTTGTGCCTTGGGGTTTGAAAATGGCTCTCAGCTGGAAATCTTCTACCCATCAATCCTTGACGTCACGGAGGGTTATTGTGTTGCTGTGCAGAAAGAGAAGTACACCAGGGAGTGGAAACGAGAAACAAGGGAACTGGAAAATTACGTGAAGAGCTGTGTGTAGACTAGTATCATGAAACAAAGGAAAAATGAGCGCCATTGAATTCAGGGATTGGATTTTTAGGAAAACACATGTACAGTACAGTAATGCTACCATGCATATCCTGCAGAAGTCATATGAAATGGCTTCAATTAATGGTAATCAACAACAATAATGTTTTTAAAATGTCTTTGCAGAGCTCAAATTAGTTTCTTAAATGCGCTTGTTTTTGCTGGCACGTTAGGGCAACACCAAAATACATTTATGAAAAAACTGTAAAATCCCACATTTGATGAATAAATAATTGATCATCATGTAATTATTTCAACACTAGACACTTTATATAAAAGTAGGACCTATTTTCTCTCAGCAACATTTCATTTCTTCTGCGTTCCAGGCAAAAAGTACCTTGGCAAGCTATCTCTGGATTCATCCTCAATGTCCTCCATGCCTCTCTGGCAGCTCGTATGCGATGACTGATCCAGGAATTGTCTTCTTTCCCCCTGCTATACACCCCCTCTCTCTAATGGTGAAATCTGACAGAGGCAGACTTCAAATGGAAAACAAGGAGCTCCCCAGCGAGGAGAAGGCAATTATGGTCTGGCCTGATGTGCAACCTAACGCCAAGAATTCTATATCACAACTAAAACATGAAAAAACGAAACAAAGGGCCTACCATCCCCTTTCCATTTGTAATGGCTTGATTGCTGCCGAGCTGAAGCGATCCTCCTGCATGCCAACAATACCAATATTTGTTTTCAAGTGTTTTGAAAGGGGAGCGAGGAGCAGAGAAAATGGAAAAAGGGTAAGGATGGAGCACGGTGGCACTGACATGCATCAGACGTGAGTCGACTTCCACACTCATTTCACATCCCATCTTCTCAAGGTTGCTCCTTTTTAAAAGATGTTTTCACAAGGATGCCTTCGGAGAACACGTAGCAGGAGTAACCCCGGAAAAATATAATCAGAAGCATTCTGAATAGATTGCGTTTTCAGATAAATGTTTGTATACAGTAAAGTCGTAATGAATTCATTCATTTGAATGCCGCCAGGGAGCAGAGAAAGGCAGAATAATGAAGAAAAGATTTGAAATAGGAAAGTTCTCCTTTGGGAATCTAAGGTACACACACAATCGAGTCCCTCCATGTGTTATTCAGGAATCAAAATAACCTCTTAACAAACACTTTTCTTGCCTTCTTGAATCAACTCTCAACTTTCCATTTAGGACACAGCGTTTTCAAAATGTGAAGCTGCGTTCCTGTAATGGGAAAACCTAGATGGGAAACTCATTGAGAATAAGAAAAGGGGAAAAGATGAATAAAATGTGTAGCAGAAAGCAATTCTCCCTCATTTCATCTTGTTATCTGTTTTACATTATTTCCCCTGGGTATCCTGCACCTTGCAGATATACAGCTCTGCACAAATAATCAATTAAACCTGCAGATTCGCAGGGATTCAGCAGTTGCTTTGTGTCAGGCCTTTAGCCACTTTCAATGGATTTTCCGTCTCGATAAAAAGCCTAGAGTAACAAAGGCTTTTGTTGATAACAAAATTGAGGCGCAGAGCTGAATAATAAATCCCTTTATTATGAAATGGTTGTTTTGTTAATAATTCAAATTGGTCAAACAGTTTACCAATTACTAAATTATAACAGCGTGCCAGACAAAGGAATCTATCATCTACAAAGACTTAGCGACCCTTGTCAGACATCCACGCCCCTTATAGAAACATGAAAATGATCTTAATTATGGGGATGCAATGGGGAATTGTCAGTGGGGGTGTTATCAACATACTGTGTGGTAAATGAAAGCCGGAAAGCTGTGTTACTAGGGGATCCACCATGTCATTCCCATCAGCCATGTGTCACAACAGCCAATCATGGTTGAGGTGGGATCTCGTCTCTACAAAAGCAGTCTTCATATTATTCAAGGCAACAACACAAACTCTTATTTTGCTCACTTTCTTGCTTGTAATCTGTCAAGTGTTTTTTCTGATTATTAAATAGTCCACAGACCTGGCGTGCTTTACAGATCCCAGCTGCATCAAACTTCAGAGGACAGGCGGTTTCACCGAGGATCAGAACAGATGTTCTCCTCGTCAACAGCAGCAGCATCGCCAGAGATGGCAAAGGTACACCGATCCTTTACTCAAGTAGCAGTACAGATACTCGTGTTTAAAAATACTCTGGTAAAGTACTGACTAAACTTCTTTACTCAAGTAAAAGTAAGGAAGTATGGGCTTTGAAATGTACTTAAGTAAAAAGTACCCATAACTAGCAGCTGTTTTAAAGAATAACTGACCTCCCTTTATATTAATAGAACATTAANGTGACGACCCACTTTGATTCATTCAAACATTCGAAAATGCTTTCTGCTGCTGCGGACAAGAAAGCCAAACAACTCACGTTCACGAGGCATCAACCTCCAAAACCCTTTCGAGGGCTACAAGAAACGAAGTGAGTAGCCTACAAGATTGAAGCTGCAGATAACGAACGAGTAAATGAAAACAGAATGAGGCGGAGAAGTCTGTGTGTGTGTGTGTGTGTGTGTGTGCGTGCGTGAGATTAAAATAGCCCAATTGCTTTTACAATAAATAAACATTGAATGTGTTTAATTGAATAGTAAAGGGGTTTAACGTTAGTGGCAGGTTGTGTGTGAGAGAGAATAAATAAGACAGCCCAATATTTAAAAAAATATTTAGCATATTTCGCAACTTTCCGCATATTTCGCAACTTCCCGCAGTTTCACCGCATAAAATCACATAAAACCCCGCATGTTTTATCGCATAATCAAGGATTTTTGCCCCGCGTTTTTCTGGAGGGTCTAATTACCCACAAGAGCAAATGCGGGTAAAGTGTCTTGCCCAAGGACACAACGGCCTGACGCAGTGGCGGCCGAGGCGGGATTCGAACTGGAGTTCACCAACGCCCCTTGATCTGATGACCAACGCTCTAACCACTGCGCCAAAACCACCCCCGACCGCCCACCTTAGTTAATAGTTCAAAATTAGCTCAATTCCAGAGGAGCATTTTCAGATTTGACTACTTTTACTTCAAACTAAGTGCATTTTCCTGTGTAGACTTAAATACTTTCATACCTTAATGAATACTTTCATAATTTGCATATAAATAACCCTGTGACCTTAAGAAGGCTTTGTTTTTCTCCCATGCCTCCATAGTGAATCAAGAACAAAGAAAAGATACATTTAAATAATTGGGGTTGCTTTTTCAAACAGCAAAAATACATCAATAAGCTCTCACACAACTCAAGCAGTAAAATAATAATCAATCATCAAAGCACAAATGCAGGGTAACACCGGGTGAAACAAACTACCTTTGACTGGGTGTTCTTGTCATTTGTTTTTCAGGAGGCAGAGAAGAGACAGCTGGGAGAGACGCTGATGCATGCTGGGAACTCAGAGAGATACGTGCACACCTTCAGGGATCTGTCCAACTTCTCCGGGACCATCAACGTGACGTATCGCTACCTCGCAGGAATCCCTCTGCCTCGCAAAAGTCAGTATTTCTACCGCAGATATACTACTTCCTTTTGCCTGTATGTTCCCAACTAACTTAGAAAATACACAATACTCTTTATTCGATAAGTATTTCATTAACTCAAAAGTGTCCACTAAGAGGCTACCATACCATGTGGTTAGTTTATATACATTTATGATCAGCATCATTCAAAAGTAAAACAAAAGCACGACACAAGGTTCAACAACAGAAAGACAAACTTTGAAAAAATGACACTTTTGAGAAATATAAACTAAAACATGAAGACAGATTAAGACTAAGACATATTTGAAAGAAAACATATGATAATAAAAGATGAAACACTTAAACAGATGAGTTATACATGGAGGATTCAAATCAAATCGATGTTCAATTGCCGTATCGCCCAGCTTCACCTTTTGTTCACAGTTTCGTTTCAAAATGAAGTAACTAAAGTCATGTTGATCTTCACAGAGTATCTCACCATCGGTTTGTCGTCTGTGAAGAGGAAAAAGGGAAACTACCTCCTGGAGACGATCAAATCCATCTTCGATCAGTCCAGCTACGAGGAGCTGAAAGAGATCGTGGTGGTGGTCCACCTGGCAGACTTCGACCTGGCCTGGTGTGAGAACCTGGTGCAGGAGATCACCAGGAAGTTTGCACACCACATCATAGCGGGACGCCTGCTGGTGATCCAGGCCCCGGAGGAGTACTACCCCTCTCTGGACGGGCTGAAGAGGAACTACAACGACCCGGAGGACCGCGTCCGGTTCCGCTCCAAGCAGAACGTGGACTACGCTTTCCTCCTCAACTTCTGCACCAACCTGTCTCACTTCTACATGATGCTGGAGGACGACGTGCGCTGCTCCAGGAACTTCCTGACGGGGCTGAAGAAGGTGATCACCTCCAGAGAAGGGTCCTACTGGGTGATGCTGGAGTTCTCCAAGCTGGGCTACATCGGGAAGCTGTACCACTCCAGAGACCTGCCCCGCCTGGCTCACTTCCTGCTCATGTTCTACCAGGAGATGCCCTGCGACTGGCTGCTCATCCACTTCAGGGGTCTGCTGGCCCAGAAGGACGTGATCCGCTTCAAGCCCTCGCTGTTCCAGCACATGGGCTACTACTCGTCCTACAAAGGAGCGGAGAACAAGCTGAAGGACGACGACTTTGAGGAAGACTCCATCGACATTCCTGACAACCCTCCTGCCAGCCTTTACACAAACATCAACGTGTTTGAGAACTACGACGCCACCAAGGCTTACAGCACTGTGGACGAGTACTTCTGGGGGAAGCCTCCGTGCACGGGGGATTTCTTTGTCATAGTCTTTAATAAATCTACCAAAATTAGTAAAATCAAGATTGTCACTGGTTCTGATGACCGTCAAAATGACATTCTCCACCACGGAGCGCTGGAGGTAGGAGAGAAACTAGTAGGAACTAAAAAAGGGAAACAGTGTTCCTCTTATATCACATTGGGGGAGTTTAAAAATGGCAACATTGAGGTTCAAGACGTAGACCACAAAATTGCCTTTGACATTGAGTGTGTTCGTATTGTGGTGACAGCCAGTCAGAAAGAATGGCTCATTATTAGAAGTATAAGTTTATGGACTACACAACCCCCCAGCCAATAAGGACTGTACACAAAGACTCTTAGTATCTCATAGAGGTAAATGTTTTTGTTATTATTATTTACTAATTTATGTATTTCCAGGTTTATTTATTAATTTTGTATGTATTTATTGATACTCATTTTGATTGCAAATCACTATAGTTTTTTATACCTGCAAGTTGTTATCTTAGTGGAGCATCTTCCCAGTCAGGACTGTTCAGCTGACCTCAGAGTATTCATGAACGTGTTTACTTATTTCAGATTTTGATAGCCTTGTTAAATATAGGGCTGGGCGATAATTCAGGGGTGTGTTTGACCAACTTTAAGGGATATCATATCCATAAAATGTAATATTCTTCTGTACAAATCCAGTGAATCCAACAATGAGTTCATTACTCAGAAGTACCTCCCTAGTCTAAAGTTGGATATATCTTATTCCTCTGTGCCATAGAGCTCCATTGTTTTCGAAAAGCCATTAAAGTCATTGAGCCATACTGTTTCATTGGATGGCATGTTGCAGTACTTCATTACAATAAACTTGGGCACTGTAGTTCATTTCGAGTCAATCCCTCTTACACCGTCCTGCTGCTGTAAATACTCACTAGAGCACCAAACGTGTAATAATCCACAGCTGAAAATTGTTTTTAAAGATTTATGTTTTCAGTAGGAATAAAGGAGGTCGGGGCTGAGGTCCATATGCAGGGTAGGAAAGTCAAAAACTACTGTAAGATACATTACATGTCACTTGTTAGATGCTTTTATCCAAAGCCACTTACATACTCAATACTGTGGACAATTGCTCCCAATTGTGGGAGCAATTTGGGGTGAAGTGTCTCAGGGACACGACGACATGCTGGGTGTTTCTCAATCGCGAGGATGCTGGCTTGGTAGTCGCGTACTTCCAAGTCACTTCCTTCAGAAACGAAGCAAGTATACTTCCAAGCCATGGCTTCGGAAAACGAAGAAGAATGGAACAGGCTAACAAGTGTGCCACTCTCTAACGGTTTCAACATAAACTGTACCGAAAATAAATACCTCACGATGTCTATCTAATTATGAACTTCCTTTACTTTCACTGAACACATTTTTGGTGATAACAAATGTAACAAAGTAAAATATTTACCAACACGCCATGTTCTACGCCACTACATACTTACATTTAAATGTGTGCTGCGTCGGTTCAGCCATTCTCCGAAAGGGTTTTTGAAATTGGTCCGTGCACAAAGCATTGTGGGGATTTTAAGGAGGCGACGTCTACCCATGTGCAGCCTCGAAATTTCCCCCAAACCAAGGACGCGGCCTCGGTGGAATTCCAAGTATGCTGGAGATTGGAACAGTCCTTCGGCGGCACTCGATGACGTAGCATCTTTGAAATATTGGCTTGGAAGCCAGAATCCTCGAGATTGAGAAACGGCCGCTGACTGCAGTGGGGTTTGAACCTGTGACACCCTGCTCCGAACACCAACGCACAACCCACTGCACCACACGCCTCCCGAGTACAGAAAGATACAGAAAGATGTTGCCTTTTTTGTCCTTTCATGGGAGTTGTAGAGAATGTAATCACTAGGGAAGGGGTTAGGGTTAGCCCTTTCCTCCAATTCTTCTAAACTACATTTAAATCCATAACAGTTAAAAAAGCTTTCCTTGCATTTAATGTGACTTTTGTCATTTTAAATAATGATCCATCAGTATCCATACGTCAATATCATGGGTTTTATTTCAACGATATCGCCCAGCCCTAGATAACATATGTGTAAGTCATTAGTAGAGTGCATTGAACCAATCATTTATCAATGTTTTTGAAGGCTGTTCAGAAAGGTGCTTCAAGTGAGGAATGAAAACACATTTGACTTAGGGAACAGCATCCTACTGATTTTATACCGTTGTGTTCATTTTATTACAATTGAAAGCCGTAGAACACAAAGGATAGTTAATATGAAGTGTATCTAAATTATTTTCAGGCACTTGTTCTCCTTGAAAATACCATCCAATTAAAGCTATTGTGTCTTTGTACATTTTTCATGACTGATACTAAGCCTGCAAGTGTAGCTCCAGGATTCTTTCTCTGAGAATGTCCCCATTTGGCCCTTAATTATTTCCCAGGGAAGTAGCAGAGGTCAGTGTTGCCTTTAATATTCCTCATGTCACACTAACTTTTATTCAGTTTCTAATATTCTCTCCTGGTTTTAATCAGCTTCTCGCTGTGTTTGAGCATGTGTGAGTGGGCCGAGCTCTTTTCTCCTGTCAGGGCTGCTGACAGGAGAACAATGTTTGTTTTCTCCCATCTTCTCCAAGCGCTGAGATTAGATTGCACACTGAAGAATGGGCAAGGTCTGCTCTTAGGTCTCTTGTTTTTTCCAACACAGCACAATTTCCCCCCAGTAAATTGGTCTGTGTTTGCCTCACTCTCTACACCAGCAAAACAACATCTCCCCTGAAGCTATAGGATCTCAATTCGCTCTTTCCCCGATGTTGCGCTCTCACTACTCCAATGTTTCTGCTCCTACATCGTTGCCTCTGTGATCTTTGCTCTCGCTTCGTGCAGTCCGCTGCTTTAGGGAAACTTGCTTTTCCTTTGAAGATCCTTTACGAGGTTTTCCACCTTGCTTTACGTTGTAATACAGCAAATGATAATTAACGCTGCACGTATTAACTCATCATCTTAGTGAGCCTCGGAGCCCCTCGTCATCTCCCATGTTTATTTGACCTATCAGTGACGGATTCTACTTTTGAATGGCAACGAGAAGTCACTCACCAATGCAATAAAGAGGTAAATGTTTACATAACACTGATGTTTTTTAAAGAACATGAGGTGGAAGCAGAGCGTCATTAAGCATGCAGCGACAGTTTAATGACGCTTTGTTCAGCTTTCCCGTAGCGATGGCCACCTGCTCCGTGTTTTCCCTCGAGGTGTTGTTCAGTGTCGCAGATCAAGACCTTTTGCAGATTGGCTTGTACCGCCACCTCAGAATCCTTGCTCAGCAAATCCCCCATGTGCTATCTGAAATGAAATTAGAATGCCCACCACCAACACCACAGTATAGCTTATTGTTTTTCCTCAGCGTTTCCCCTTGGAAAGTCGCTATTCATTTTGGTGAATGGTTCCGTGACCTGCATGGATCAGCTCCTTGGAGGGGGATGTTGTTTGTGTTTCCGAGCGTCATCCATTCAATCTACAATGTGCTGCGCGTGTGTTATTCTTTACGACGCACACCATGGTGCCAATTTAGCCTAGTATTACCTGCTTATGAGCTATAAACACACGATGTCACCGCAGGGCATTTAGCTGTTTCACAAGTGTAACGGATGGCTTTGATAGGGCTCGTGTCCAAACAGAGCATTCGCTGGTAGTTTTCGAGGAGAAATTGCTGTCTGATCTTTATTTGAAACAAGATGGCAGCCAAAACAAGCAGCACCCTGCAGATTTATGAACAGATTTACATCCTGGGATCACAACCAAATCTGCATAAATTCCTCAACTGGATGTCAGCAAACTGCAGCGCACAGCACTCTTTGCTATTGGCAGCATGTTTTGAAACCACAATCCATACTGGGGCCTTGAGGGATCAGTTGTTTCACTTAATACTGAAGGATGTATCTCCCTCTCTTGATTACCCACCGCTAATAAATGGCCATCCTCGCTGTACATTTGTCAAAAATCACACACTACAGTAGGTAGATCTCTGTGGGGAAAAAAGGGAACAGGGTTGTAAACCACTTGCAGGCATGTACACGTCTAAGTTTGTTTCATTATATTGGCTCCAAGTGTCCGATCCCCCAAAAGTTACAAGCAAATGATGAATGTGAATATGACATGTGGTTGGAGTTATATGAAATGTGAGCTGTCTTCCAGTGGAGCATGTACAAAGTGCATGAACAAAAATCTTTCAGTGGATAAAACTGCTTTTTTAGGTCAGGATGTCAATGAATTATTGTCCAGATTCTTCTGATTAAATTGTACTGGGTTTGTAGAAGCGTACCAATACTACCTTACTACTGGTCGGAGTTCACATGTGCTGTGTATTGTTAAGTGGAGCGAGTGTGTTACGATGTTGTTTCCGTGTCTGTTTTACTTTCCAACGTTCTCTAAATGGTACTGTATTGTAAGATGACATATATTTTTTTACACGTATCATTTCAAATGTTGTACTGTATATATTGTATTCGAAATTAAATTAGATTAAACGAATGAATACCGACTTTGTGGTGCATTGTGTGTAAGGAGCACAACATATTGTGACCAACAGGTACAAACATGCCACAATGGACTAAAACACTTCCATTAGGAGAAATGCGCTGCAGTTTCAAAAACGATTTAAATAAAGAACACAAATATGCCAAAACACATGCAGATGACGAAGCATCTTCACCGACTTTCTAACACATAAGCAGCATTTTGAGAACATTTGAGAACAAGCAACACATGCACAGTGTTGCTTCAAGCACTAGATCAGCGGTTCTCAACCTTTTTCAACTCAGGGCCCACTTAAGAATCTGAAAAAAATCTGCGGCCCACATTCAACCATAAAAAATACGGAGGCTAAATACAATTCTCAGAGTACTTTTTATTTTAATTAGAAGAGGAGCTGGCCATCAGTAACAAACAGACATTTTTATTACACGGTTTAGTTGAATACTCGATTCTGATTGGACATTTCAGAACATGTGACACGTTGGTAATCCAGTAGTACAGATCGCTGTCAAGGACTGTAATGACTGTTGCTAAGGAGGATCAAGAAAAAAAAGGAAAATCTTAATTTTGAAATGTTTCCACACAAATCATAATGTTTTGCAAATTATTTGGCGGCCCACTTGCAATGCCTTCGCGGACCACTAGGGGGCCGCGGCCCACAGGTTGGGAACCGCTGCGCTAGATAAAAGAAATGCTACAAATACAAAACGCTTTGGCACATGTTTTATATGTTCACAATGTGTCTCCTACTGGAAGTGTTTGCACATGTCGGCCATCGTACATGATTATGGGTTTGAATACCTTAAAGGCAAAAACAACACTCTATACATGACCCTCAATCAAAAATATTGTCTCTCTGTCTTGAACATGTTTTGTTTCACTGTTTAAAATGTTTATGAATAAAAGTAGAAAGTACAGCGTATATTTTTAATTTAAATACAACTGACATTTGCATTTCCTTGAAACTTGCAGCGAGAGCAACCCTGACTCAGATCTTACTGTAGCCAAAAGCCAAAGCCATACATTATTAATTGTAATATTCATATGTTTTTTTTTTACGACTGCATATCTAATTAAGGTGTAGGGATGCAGCCTGGGAGAATACTATATCCTCTTTTAAGAAACATGCCCTTTGTTATTTGTCAAGAAGGTTGAAACATTCCTTATATAAGGCACGTTGAGACATCTGGAGCAAGGACAACAGACATGAAATCACTCTGGAGGATTGCAGCGTTTAAGTATTTTATTAAATGCAAGTTATTATACTAATATTGCCTGGGTAACAAGTAAATTGTGTTTATAAATAGTGAATGCACAGGTGTCATCACATACGGTACGGTGAATTCAGGCTAGCTTACTCTTCACAGTGATCGCAGCCTCTCCAATTTGAATAGAGGACAACATCTATTATGTCTTTTTGGCATTGGATTAAAAGAAACTATCTCTCAGTTATCCTAGCCAAAATAATTACCATTTTATGATATTATCCTGATCTATAATATGCTCACACCTCTTTAGATTGCATTTAAGCATACTGGAATTGTAGTAACTGCAACAAGACATGATGTTCATAGGAAAAACT